GTGTGTGTGTGAGTGTGTATGTGTTTGTGTGTGTATGTGTATGTGTGTGTATGTGAGTAAGTATACGCGGGTGGTTTATTGCTGTTGTTAGAAATTTTCATAAACAGATGGATGTTAATAGAATTGCAGCTGTAGCTGTAGTATCGAGATTGCATGAATGATGTCTGTATTTGGTTTCATCTGCTTTTCTGCAAGTATGCGCTCCGAAAATTCGGTCGAGTACATGCACTTATACAGCAAGCATACAGGCCACAGAGTATATAGAGATCCACCAGTAGCTGTGTACTCTACTGATGTATCCAGATATGGCAAAACAGATAATGTATTTTAATCTTACAACGCCAAAGCCAGAGTCGACTTCATAGCCGAGCAAAGCACTCAGAGCCTGCGGGTAAGCACTTTTCAGGAAGGGGTATATCCAGATCGAGAACAGATGGAATATATAGTATGTTGGCCGAGACACCCTCATACTCGGTACAAGAATCTGATTGATTCACTGCGGTGCGGACTATGTGCTTGCTAATATACCTATCGGCGTGATTTGCTTTGAATATGTATAACTTTTGAAATGTGGCGTATGTGTTGAGTGGCAAAATATACATATCAATCCGATCAGTAAACGCCCCACTTGTTGACAACAGGCGTATGGTCAATTTTGACATGATTTCAATAGGACCGAACTGTACGGCAGGAAACTGGTAACTGGTAGTCTGGTAATTTTGCCACTGACTGGAGGTGAGTGACTGGAGCGAGATTGTTGGCTGATAACTCCTACCTGACGGCGCGTGGCTTAGGTCATTATTATTACATTCGGCCTAGCTGGTCCCTCATTTGCATATGAATATTTAGGACCCGGCATCTCTTACATGTAGCCTACCACTCGTCCAAGATGTCCAGTACAAACGCAGTTGCCAGAGCAGGGCCAAGCCTCTCCCACAATCCATCAGTAGAAAAGAATGAATTTGAATGGTTGATCTGCTTCGCAGATTTAGAGCCCAAACTCAAGGCTATGCTTAAAGCATACGGATCACAAGCACGTGTACTAGTAGCCGGGTGTGGGTATTCAAGTCTGAGCAAAGGACTGTACGATACAGGGTTTCGTAATGTGTACAATGCAGATTGCAACGCGGACGTTGTAGCCTACATGAGAACTAAACATGACAACTGCCCTGAAGTATGTGTGACATCTGAGAGCATTTCAGCATATAAATGTGGTTTGTACTGGTTCCTGTGTATAATGTGGTGTAGCTTGAGCATCGCATCCTTTTTTGAGTATATCTTACATGGCTGTCTATTCACTCGGATATGTATGTACTTTTGTCGTGTTCTGTACTTTTTTTCCATCTTTATTGTATGGAATTCGCCTTTTTATCTTCTCGCAATGAATGAATATTTAATCTAGTGCAATCGAGCTCCGACTGGGGTTATCCTTGGGTTATAAGAAGTTTCAGAGCTGGCCACATCACCTCGTCATATATTATATATCCCGTTACCATGTCCTTTCGCTCGAATGTATGAAGTACATATGCCGTGGTCTGCTAGTATCTTACTGCCTTGTCTATATAAAGTTGGCCTCTCTATTGTCTCGCAATACACACACCTTCATGCGGCTGTGTATCGACCTCCGACCATAATATGCTTCGATTTTGAGCTTTCTTTTTATATATATTTTTTCCCAGCTACACCTTCCACATTAAAATAAAATGTGACTAAGGCCATCACGTACGTGCATTCTATTTGTGAAGAAGGATATTCCTGTGAGTGCAGCAGTACATATACCCCTTCAGGCATGTACGATAAACAAATTGTATCACACTTATAATATATGTTCACCGAAATGAACTCAAAAGCTTGGGAGAATTCCACTGTTTAAGTTAACTCCTTCGTCCAAGTTTAATATACACTTGGTCCGCTCTCGTATCCAAACTGCTGTAGACCTTATTTGGTTTGGCATTATGTTGCTGTAAAGGAATTGAGTCTTCTACACAATTATTCTTAGTTCAATTTAGGAATTAGATTAGACACGATTTCGATAAGCCATTCTTGTCCCAAGCATCCACTATATCTGCTATGCAATGCTGAACGGGGTCGACGGAAAACACAAATATTCTCTACTGTGTAGTCTTACAGGTTATGTTAAGTTCCTAAGATGCTATTATACATTTTCAAGTAGTGTTGAGGTTATCTAAAAGCCACGTTGGTATTTTAAACCCCCTTGGAGGCTCCATAATTAGTTGAGAAGCAGACAACCTACTGAGCACTGCTACCCTGCTCGGAGTATTTCTTGCAGTATCGTAGGTGGATTATTTTTACCCCTTGACGTCCTCGGGGATACTACAGCATATTGAACAAGCTGGCCTTCCGTTTATCGTAGTACAGATACTAATCGCAATCGATCATTGATAATTCCCTATGTGTGTAGATGTCCTGGGACGTGATTGACCTTGACGGCAAAGACAGTGTTCGACTGCTAGATGGTTCATTCGATATGGTTGTGGACAAGTGCTGCTTGGACTGCGTACTGTGCGAGACCAACGGAGCCGACTACATAGCGGAACTTACCCGGGTCCTCAAAAGGTATAGACTTGCTACGTACACTTGCACACAGAATACTGTTTAGCGGGCCCGTTTTGCTCAGCTCTTGTAATTGTAGTGAGTATACTCTCTGAATTTAATTTATACAGTCATTGACGTTGTTCCGCCCTACATGTACGGCAAGTATATATACGCTACCTTCAGGCATGTATTCATTTGTCACGAACTGATATGCCTACGTTGTTGAGGTTCCCATAGGCTTGCCAAAACGCTCGATAAGCTACACGTCATCACGCATACATATGTTAGCTATGCCTTCACGATGCAGAGTTATAGATCTCTGCTCAATATACACTTAGGGTACTTTCAGAGAATCGCTGTTCGCTTTTGATATTACATGCTGAAATTCCTTTCACGAGAAAAGTAGGCCTTCATAGCTCGAAAGGCCAGTTTCTCACCCATTTAGCACTAGAATTATATTTGTACTTAAACGACATCCATACTTCAGAAACTCTTTATTAATTTAAATCATGCTACAATTGTGTGTACTGCAGGAAGGGTGTACTGTGCATAGTCTCGTTACATGGCCCGGATTTTCTGCTACCTCTGCTGGAGGCACCTGAACTCGCATTCAATGTGTCGTACCAGAAGATTCGCTCTTCGACCGCCCTGACTGTTAAGGACGGGTTGGATCTTACCAGGAATATGCCTAATATAGCCAGTAACGCCGAGGATGTCGAGACATCTGTATGGAGTGATGAAGGGGTTTTTGCACCTCCCGACGACTATATCGACTCTACAAACATGTATGTGTGTAGGCCTAGAAGAACCCCGCTCATACGCAAAGGGTCAGCAGTGAAGAATTTACAAAGTGAGAATACCAATAACAAACCAGACACTGAACAGCGGCAATATGGAGTAGAGGACGAATCTGAGACATCAACGTGTGCACGCGCGCAAGCACAATATGATCATGATGAGACCCAGGCTATCGAGCAATTTTTTTGTGTTGATAAAGACGCGCTCCATGCAAGGTACGATAGTATCCTTGATGAATGGTTCCGCATAGAGGCACCCATGCTTACACCCGCTCGTAAGAAGACAATTGAAGCCGCATATGCTAAAGTAGTCGCTGAAGCTCTTGACCGGGAACGTATCGATAGGACAGGCTGTAAAGGCAAGGCAGCCAACAGCCAAATAGTAGTCGACCAAGAAGAAGACCTTAGGTTACGAAATAGTAGAGAGAACAACTCGACTACACGTGGCAGGGTACCAATGATGGGGCAAAAGTACAATTCACAAAGACTTGATGCAAACGACTCGGGCTATACGGGAAGGGCCACATCAGAGGGAGGATATATTGTGGGAAACGCACTCGAGGATCAAAGTGTCGTCGACGCGGGTGGCAAGGAATGCACACAGAAAGGACAGGCGCGACCCCAATCAAATCCTAATCAGAAAAATAGCATAGACGCCTGTTGTGCGAATGACAACAACCTCGCATCAAAGAAGATCCAGAATGCAACAGGCGTGGCGGATAACAGCGAGAAGATTCCAAAGAAGATCACATCTGATATTTCACATATGAATTCTGCACAGAACAGGCCAAATGTGAATAGCACGTTGTGTATAGCCGCGGTGTATGACCTGCTGTTCACCTCGCTGGAGAAAGAGCACTATGCAATGGATCAGTTTGTACACGACTATGATGTGTTCCGTTTGGTCGACAGGAAGAGTGCAGCAACTACTGTGAAGCATGCTCGTGTGATGTGTGGATGTGTATCCACCGCCGTGAATATAAAGCAAGGATTGATGAGCTCCTGTATACGAGAAGTCGGTGATCATGCGCGAGGGCTGAATCTGACAGATGCGATCGCTTTTCTCGACCTTATGCAATAAATGATATGAACAGTAGTGTAATAAGCTAGATGCCGTATCTACATCGACCTCTTAAGATCTGCATATCATTTATACCAATAAGTTACAAAGCTTGAAGAAGAGAAAAAAAAGGCCGTGATCTATTTACTGAATGTACCCAATATTAAACAGCACAGCAATGGATCCACGAGCCTTGTTTACTCGCGTTGCTATTCTAGTTGTGGCGATCGGAGATGGCCAGGATATCGGAGAAAATTCCGGCTGCAGTTACATCGGCACCTGCACCGGCACCTTGCACAATGAGTGGCACCGGGTACCTCTCAGTGATGAATGAGATGATGTTGTCGCTGCCTGCAGGAGGCGAATTTCGTATTAAGAAGAATCAGAATGGAAGTTCAAGTCAAAAGAATGGCGGCATATTCGAAGAAATGCTCAGCTCAAATCAGGAGCAGTGGAGCGTAGATAGGCTTCATGCATGCGTCCAGCTCCGCATCGCATATGGCATACTAATACCGCACTTATTACTCAACTGGCGCACATGCTGTAAACGACTTGCTACCGACAAATCTCAACTCGTATCGAAATATTACTCCAAACTTACCCTTGAGTGATGCGAAGGGGTGTGTGTTGGGAAATGCCTTTAGTGCAGTACAACTCTTTCCAGAGGGGTCGACTGTTCCAACATATCTGAGATAAGGAAAGGGGAGAACAGGGTCATTAAACACTATACGCAACAGGGTTACTATGTATCTATATAATCCTAAGTTAGTCTATATGTAAGACGCAATACGGCCCTCCGTTTTCATGCTCGCCGTATCAACACAAGCAAGACTTCACAATCTAACCACATCTGATAGAACATTGTCGCGTGACACCCTATGAAATTGGACAAGATTAAAGCCAATACGACAAGATTACGCACAAAGCTATACAGCGCACGTCGGTGAATACATCTAGCTGCAGGCTAACACGTCAGACGATCGAAATCTATAACCTACCGAAGGACTTCTCCGCGAGCGGCTGCCTCCGCGTTTAACTTTCCGAAATGCTCATCGAATTCGGGTAGTTTCTGCAAATGGTAGAAGTAGGTGAGCTTTTTTCCGAGCACGGGTATCAGAAAAAAAAATTACATGCATCGCAACCTATCTACTGAGCTTTGTTTATATGGCAATCTCATAATCGCGTATACTCGTTGTATTGCCCTTTCACTATACTGCACTAGGAAAAATCAGGAGCATTTTCTTTCGAGCGATTGCGTCGTTTGATACCGCGCTTCAACTCCCTGCATTTGTGACGAAAACATCCAAGTCACACAAAAACAACTGGAATTACAAACTATACGTTTCAGACACTACCGAATACACACTCGATTATAACTTCCGTACGCAAGAATGATGGCCGGCCAACGTTGCCGTTTGAGGCCTACTCGTACATGTGCATGCTAATAAATACAAAGCAGTACCAAGATGCGCGTAATTCACTTACGGTCATGAACTCCTCGCTTGTTTGACACGATCGCAGAGCTTCAGGTACCACGTTTTCCACAGGAAGAGTATCCAAGGAGATATCCAGACCAGCTACACGACCCAGGATAGTAACCTTGCGAGCAACATCCATACCGTTAAGATCGTCTCTGTTTGTGAGTGTAAATTCGATTGCGTGCTATGAGTATTGCGGAACTTAAATGCGTAGCCTTCGCGTTCCTTTGGCACAAAGGTGGCCAATAGAACACCTGTCCGTACAATATTTCAATAAGTGAACCACACTGAAATCCTAACTGGTGCGATAAGACAAACCACACAAACTACGGATCTGTATGTCACTGACAAAGTAATGCACTGGAATAAGCAATGATCTCGTTCCTTTTCTAAGCGCAAGTGAAATGGAACTAATTCGGACAACAATATGGATCTTTAAACAACTTGATGCAGACAAGGTGTTCGAATGACAGTACTGACTGATGCGCGCGAATTCTCGCCATCTTAACCCTCACGAGTTGAACTTTTAAAGATATGTTCGTGCACGCAAGCTCTGCATACCTGGGATCAGGCTCGGTGTAGCCAGAATCCTTAGCAATTCCTACACATTTCGAGAAACTCTCAGGGGCGCCATTGGGAGCAGAGAAGGTGTTGAACAAGAATGACATTGTTCCAGAGAAGATTCCTTCGATCTTGACGATCTTGTCACCTATTATTTATCAGCGATATTGTTGTAGAATGAATTTATGCAGCAAGTTCTTGGAAAGAAAAGCGAGAAGCTATGTGTTGGAAATAGTATGCTGCGCCTGAATGGCTTGTGGACCACGGTTGGTACATACTCGGCAATCTCAAGCGTGTAGTATAAAGTTCATAAAAGCACGATACTAACCTGAAGGGAAAAAATGCAGTTAACAATGCAAGCAAAAAAAAAATCCCATATACACGCGTTGTCCGCTGTTTTCTGATAAATGCATATAT